AATCCATATGTTTGATTCAATGGTCTAATTTCAAATTATTACCGGAATAAAATATCAAATTGTATATTTAATAACTCATAGTATATCAATAGCGGATTTGCTATGAAGCCAATAGTTGGCTCCATAGTGAAACAAACCTTCTATATACAACAAATAAACTTATTATATTTTCTTATTATTTAAATAACACTAATATAATTTTATTAATATGGTAGGTTTATTTGTTGTATATAGAAGGTTGACTCTGGAGCCAACTGTTGACTTCATAGCAAAACCGATATCAATCGACAATTAAGATTCCAATCAATCATGACGAGTTCTATGGTCTATACAACATAAATATAGACAATGTCACACACACACACACACTTAATTAAATTTAAAATAATATATTTTTAAAATATATATATGTTATAAATAATTATTAATAGATAATTAATTCTTATATTTGTTATTATTATGAATTATTTATTTTATTTAGTTAGCCTCTCTGGAAGCAAGTGTTTTATGGTTTATTGAAAAAGAATTTTTTTTATCGAAAACATATACTTTAAGGGTCTGTTTGGTTGGGTTGATTGGGTTTGATATCACTCCATTAGCTATTGTATCAAGAGTATTAAGTTGTTTGGTTGAACATTTTTGGGCCCTGAAAATTGAGCCAAGCCCTGACCAACATCCCTCAAAATGTTATTACCATATCCCACAAAATTGGTGGGATAGTGTATCATTTCTCTTCTGCCCATATCTTCCTCTTCCCTTTTTTTTTGTGCCTTCCCCATTTTCTTCAGCAGATCAACGTCATCAAGCTCTCCCACCACGGCTGCAACCACCACCAGGTCGGCCACCACCACCGTCTCTCGTCGTTTGCACCTCCTTCCCCCGCCCCCTCCGACCCCGACCCCCGAAAAGAACAAAGCTCGGGAAGAACCCATCGCAGCCCAAGAATCAGTCTTTGTCCATTTCTAAAAGCTTCGATGGCGGCCTGGTTCTCTATTTTCGCTTATCGGCGTGGGGATCTCTAAAACTCTCTCGTACGATGAGGCCCTTCAGCAGTCAATCTACGGCGCCTCGGGGATCGATCTCAACGGCGCAATTAGCTTGGTGGCCGAAAATCCAGTGGTAATCGACGGCGTATTGTCGACGGCCCTGGCCGTTCCGGTGGTGATCTCGCAGCTGGTGGGGAAGGGCAAGGCATGGGGGAATGGAGAGTGATCTCGATTTCCAGATCTCAATTCCTTTCTAGATCTCAATTCCCAATATTAATTTCTGAAATACTAATTTTAATGAAGGATATAAATGTAATTTTAATTTAAAGGATATTATTTGCAACTCTAAACCAAACAAGATAATAGACTAATTGAATTGGTAGATAACCTTTGATAAGATCAAGATGATTGTATCATGCTCAATCCATTATTGCAACCAAACTCACCCTAATAAGACAATGTTATTACTAGTTACTATTGTCAATGGACGATTCAGTACGGGTTAAATTATACTGGACTTCTATAAATTGTCACACTAATTTAGTGCCTCGAATTTATGAATTTAACTCAATTTTTCCATTCTCAATTGATTGCTTAATTAATTATACAATATTCATGGTTAAGGCATTTAGAGCCAAAAATAAAAAATAAAATAGAAAATGCAGGACCACTACTCATGAAAAGCTTCATATTAACAGACCATATGAACTTACGTGCTATGTTTATGTACGGCTAACTCTTTAAGGTTGGGCACAATGTTGTCCAATTTTATGGCCTCAACAGGTCATTTAATCCTCCATAATTATAAGTTATAATAACCCATCTTTTATTGTTCAGAAAACTATAATAATTTTGAATTTTTAAAACTATCTAACTTTATTTAATTTATAACTTAATGGCAAAGATCTAAAAAAATGATTTGAATCATAATGTGGGGTGGTGAGCCTCTATTAGTTCGTTAACTAAATGAGCTGATAAATGAGCTCGCTGCAAATCGTTTATCAATATTAAGGAGTTGAATTGTACGCTTAACGATGAGTTGAACCATTGAAGATTAAATAAAAAATAATAATATTTTTGAGCGAGCCTTAAAAAGTCGAGTTTGACTCGACTGTTTAAATAAACGACACGATTCGAATCAGACTCGCGAGGGCTATTTTCGCTTAACAAGTATAGTAATTCATGTGATCCAAATTAGAATATGATCAATCAATCTCGAGGTACAGATTAACTAAATAAGGGGTAAGGCTACAGTCCCGTTATAGAATCATTCTGTTATGATTTGTAACTGTTAGATGCACATATAGATTAGTGTAGCACGTACATCTAACGGTTCCAAACCTCAACCGTTATGATTCTCTAACGGTTCCAAATCTCAATGGAATGGTTCTGTAACGGGACTGTAGTATTTTTCCAAATAGAATATGGAATTAAAAAATATGGGTATGTCAAAATATTCTCTAACAATTTTTTCGTATTTTACTGTCTCAATTGATTTTTTTAGTGTGTTTTTTGTGTTTTATATTCAATAATTAAGGCCAATGCTGCATTATATATTGTTTAGGATATAACAATGAACTCGAGTAAATTGTCAGTTAATTAGTGCACAATAATTGGGGTACTGAAGTCAAAGTAGATTTCTCTTACACAAAAAGGTGAAAAAGTAAGATATATATGTGTAAGGGCAAATGGTCCATGTGAACCATGTGTATCTGATTACAGCCCATCACCAGGTGTTCCCATTCTGAAAAGTGAAAAGGGGAATAGTTTTAGAAGCCCCTCGAATACTCGGAAAATACCCCAATAAGTTTATTGAACAAGCATATTGCTCACATACACTGAACTAGTACGTAACCCGTGCGATGCACGGGATGTAAAATTTGGAAGAATAATATAACATCATGTGCATTAGAATCGAAATTGAAATCATTAAAATACATAGGAACATTGTTGAATCAAAAGTTCGATAACAATCATATATTATTAAAAACCTCCTTGTACACAACATTATGAGTTTGATTATTTGGTAACTCCTTATTATCACAAACTAATATTTTCAAAAGAGACAAATCCTAAAAATCAAACTAATATTTTTTATCAACAAACTAATATTTTAGGATTGGTGAACAAACTAATATTTTAGGATTTCTAGGATTTGTCTCTTTTTTGTGAACAAACTAATATTTTAGGATTAATTATATGAATAAGGCTGCCTGTTTTTGGTGTTCTTTTCATTCATTTTTATTCAAACAATCCGATGACTTGTATAATGAAATCCGAATCTTAAGCCGAAATATTTAAAAAAAGAGTGTTTAAAAATTGAAAAGTCAAGGCAATCAGTTCAGATTAATTAAAGGTCAAAGAATATCCGCTCCTTGAAACAAAGACGTGTGTTATCATTAACCAAATATCCGGTTATTGATATAGAGTGGTTACCAAAAAATAGAACGCGATAAGGACGCTTCATGGAAATATCAATGGGATAAGGTCATAACAGATCGCTATACATTTTAACGATAAAAACTCAGATGGAATGATTTATGATAATTATGTCGTAATCTATATATATCTAAAAAGGTTGATGTAAAAATCATTTTTAGAAACCTAAAATAATTGAGTTGACTTTTGACTTTCTATTTATGTATTCTCAACCAAATTATGAAAAAAAATCGTGATAAGGATGATGAAATTGATATTTTCGTTAATTAAGCATGGGATAATCCCATTAATTAAGCAAATGAAAGATGGAATGGATAGTTCCGTTAATTAAGCATTGTATATTCTCTTTTTTTAAGCAATGGAATCTGATCGTTGATATGAAATCTGTTTTTTATGAAATCAATTGTGAGGATTTTTAGGAAATCTGTTCCATATTCTATTTAACAATCCTTATTTTACGTGAAAATAAATGTGTTGTTTCCTTATTCACGTATGGATAGCAATGGAAGAGTTTTTGTTTCCTTAAATTGCGGATTATTTCTCTCCAAATGTGTTGCAGATTATTGCGGATTATTCTCACTGTCACCATACGTTAAAGGAGCAGCAGTTCCAGCAATCAAACCCCACCTCACTTCTATTCGGTACAATTCTTGATTCTATTTCTTTTTTTCAGCATGAACTTCATGTGAAACATTTATAATTTCAATTTCACTGTATACTAAAATCCATTGTCTAATTTGTGTTGGTTCTTGAACTCCAGAGCTCGAGCTCAAACGGAGCTGGAAAGTATCCTTAAACATGTGAGATCTTTTAATTCAATGGGATCATTTGATGATGGGTTTTTTCTTCTGCGTTTAATTTTTGTGAAGATGTTCCCATTTGTTTATTTTTTTGCAATCTATACGAAAGGTTCGAGGAGACAAATGTTTGGTGATTGATCCGAAGCTTAGTGGGTCTCTGTCACTTCTGGTCCAAAGCTCGGAACTGAAGGTATTCACTGTTCTTGTGAACACTCATGGGTTATTATTGTGTTTTTCAAGATGTTAAATCACTGAGTTTTCTGGCTTGGGGTGAACAGTAGCATTTTCTATTACAACTGTTGTGTAAATCTCTTAACTAGACTATTGGTAAAAGAAGGAAAAGGTATAATACTCTCTCTAATTATCTTTCCTGGTAATTTGTAACTAATTTTATATTTTTATCTAAATAGAAAGCTTAATTATACATATAAGTAGATAATAATTATTATCTAAATCCTTTTGTTTTTTAATTTAATAATAATTAAGTGATTAGTAAATCTAGGGAAGGGGAAGAGATTTTGTTCCAATTGTAGACTTTATTAAAATTCGAAAATTTATCGTCTCGAGCCTCGGAAGCAATATCCTCAGTATGGCCGCTTTCAGAGATATCACTTTCTCGATCATCTTCTCAGTATATATGATTCAAAGAATGACCTAAGTATATATGGTTCAGAGGATGAAGATGAAGAGTTAAAAGGAGAGGGCAAACGAGAAGAAGAAGAGGAGGACGAAGAAATTGGCTGCTTCTGAAATAAAAAAATTATACATTTTTATTAGCTTTTAATAAACTGAGATATAAATATTCATTTCCATTATTATGTTGACTATAAAATAATATATAAATTCATCCTATTTTATAAAGGTGTCTTCAATACATATTAATAGTATGCATTCAACTTCAAATCGTCTAATTCTGAATGAATTAAATTATGATCGAAAGACTCTCGCTGCTGAACACGATATACTGGCTCAATTTTAATTTACGGGGGAGAGCTAACAGGCTCAATTTTAACGTCCCGACCAAAAAATGACACTGATGAAAAGAGGTGGAAAATAGATTATCCAACTCTATTATTTTTTAGGCCTTAACGATCAAGCTCTATGGAAATGACTCATTTAATATCTCTGCCTCGTGCATCACACGAGCTACTTAACGGATAAACGAAAAAATTGGATTATTTTATATTTTGACTTACTAATTGTGGAAATGCTATTGGAAATTTATATTTTGACTTACTAATTGTGAAAATGCTATTGGAAATTTATATTTTGTGTTATAGAATGGATATATGTTATATCGAGAATATCTATAAACTTTATATTTAAAATAAATAGTAGAATAGATACAATCCGAATATCTAAACCATGAATATAGAATAGTTTCAAATATACATTGTGAAGATACGTGTTAATATAGTAAACTAACTAAATATATCTACTTATTAATCACGCCATTAACATCTTTTGTTAAATCTATTTAAAATCCGTTCTTTTGTTTTGTTAATCACGCCACTAACATCGGATATGGTTTGTTTATAATTTGGCATCAGATTTTCACGCAATTCATTTATCTTCACATGCCAAAATTGAGGAATTATTTGTGTCCATTCACGCGCAATTGCGTACAATATTTTTGGTTAATATCCATTCGCGCAATCAATACATATTTATCCTCAAATTTTTTATGCTAATATACTACAAATTTTTTTCCCTATTTTTCGTTCCATTCATGCACAATTGCGTTTAATCTTTTTGGTTAGTATCCATTCACGCGCAATCATCCCATGTATTTATCCTCATATTTTTTTGGTTAATATACTACAAAAAAATTTCCTTATTTTTAGTTAACCTAAACCACCAGATAAATACTGTATAAAAAGGTATTAATTCATGCCTTTTTTTTTTCATCTCTTTCCCACCGTGGTTCATAAAAATATAGAGATAAATTGCTACAGATATAAATAGCGTGGTTCTTTGATACCATCGATTCCGTCAATAGGATCAACAAACCTTTTCTGCGGTTGAGAATAGTCCGAATTATTGAAACGCATCACGATCGGGAGCCATCGAGAAAGGTGTCCCACTCGAATAATTGTTTTTCATTTGATTAACTTGGAGTAAGTATTTACTTTTTTTTATTCCCTTAATATCATTTTAATATTTGTATGTATTCAATTGAGATTCAAAATTATTGTAGGGAGAACAAGTTGAGTTGCACTCTTTGGAATGATTATGTTGAAGAATTCCTTCAACATGAACGACAACATGCTGGGGTTGATGGTCGCCCATAGATAATGATAATGAACTTATGTGGAGCAAAACCCTATGGAGGTTTATATTTTCTACTTAAATAATTATTTATTGTCAAAATATTCGATTGTTTTTACTTAATCAATATTGTGAATGTAGGTCGTGTCCAACTGACAACATGCTCATCGTTGTCGCATGTTAGTTTATTTCTTAAGAAGCCTGTGTTCAGCCATGGACAGTTATACGTTGATGTATCTCGTGTCACCACCCGAAGTGGTTTGAAAATTTTAGTTTGTGGTGACGATGACTCGACGCCAAATCAAACGAAAAACGTTTTAATAATTTATGAATTTTGTAGTTTGCGCCCAACGTGTTTACTTTTGTTACAAATATAACAAATTCACTAAATTTAATCATTAATATTTCTAAATGTTTAGAAATATACCATCCCGTGCATCGCACGGGTAATTACTAGTTAACGAATTAATTAGATGTGTGAAAATGACATAATTAATGAGAAGTGTGAAAAGGACATAATTAATGAGAAGTGTGAAAAAGACATAATTAATGAGAAGTGTGAAAAAGACAAAAACTTACCACTTTTGGAAAATATTTAATGCAAATCCGACATTGACCATAATTTGACCTACTATTTTGGATAAATGTTAATTCTTATTATATAAGTATAGATTCTTAATATTTGATGATTTACTTTAGTCAAATAATAATAACTTTTAATCATGAATAAATCAAGAAGCAAATAATGCATGAATTATGACCTAAATCTACATGCGAGTTAGTGGGTATAATGTGTCATGTGTGTATGCGTGTGCATTTTTATTATTAGATTCAGATATATATAACATTATGAATATTTCAGATTTTGTGTATTTCTATGGTAGATAAACTAATTTAAATTAGAGTTAAAGAAAAACTTAATCATGAAAATGTACGATCCATAGTAATTTGCACTCTCTTAATACGATCCAATCAAACAATTTGTAAAATAGAAGGTAAATATATATATCACTACATAAAAATTCATCAAGTTACAACATATGTTCCAACATAATTTTAAAATATTCTAATAATATTATAACTTATGTTGTGACATTAAAAAAAAAAAATTCAACGTGAGAAAAAATTACATATTCCAACAAAAAATATTGCAACAATATCACGTTGGAAAATGTGTCGTTCTTATAACCATCTAATTACAATTAGAAAAAAAATGCAAAGAAATAATTTAGTGTTGATTCCGTTGAAATATTTACTGTAATTTTCCAATGGAAAACAAAATGAAATTAAATTCTATTGGAATACTCGCTAATTCGAATTTAACATTTTTCAATGTATTTGTATGTTTTCTTGGAATTGATTTAAATTAATTAATTCAAATTTCTTAATAATAATATGATTCAAGATAAGTATAAATTTAACCGATCGAGTATGACATTTTTTGGTCTATAATGTCTGATCCGGAATTTATCTCGAAAATTAAATTAAATATTGCCCATAAAAATATTCTCCTATGTATTCCTAACTATTTCAACAAAAAAATTAGAATTAAACAAAATTTGTGCCGGTAAATATCACATCGACTGCGTGAGAAACACATTGCTCGATAATAACTATGCCCATGAACTCAACTTTGGGAAAAAAAAAATAAATAAATAAAATCACTCAATTACTGACAAATGTTCAACATGCATCATTCTTTAGTGGTAGTAGGTAATAAGGAAAAAAATCTTTTACTTCTAATTTTCTCTAAGTAGTTATATTTTTGTTAGGTTATATAATATATATGACATATTATAATTAATATTCAACAGTTTTAATTAATGTTACATAAAACATAGTTATTGTTCTAACAAGTAATTTGCCTAACGATTAGATTGTCACGTAATTTTTTATTTTTTTATTTTTTAATATATTTCACATTAGTTGACTTATCGACAGACATGCAACGACCACGTATGTTCAGAATTTATAGATAAATCATAATAATTATACAAATATTGGTTGATTGAAAATTATCATAAGATATATTGTATATTGTATAGTTTTGTGACTTGTAATTGGTTAGTCCACGTCTATCTATTCCCTATGTCTTATCTAGATAATGATACTTATTTTTATTAAAGTTTGTAACAATATTTGACCTATTGATAATTTATTTATTTTGATTCATTAAATATCTAATCTATAACGTGCGTAACATTGTCCTGATGCACATTGGTCCCCTAACAAAATAATTCCCCCCGATAACATGGCATTTTCCAGTGATATGTCACAAATTTTGTCAGTATATACACTGACTCTAGTCTTTCAAGTGCTTTGCAATATTGAATATATAAAGGTAATCCATATAACACATCAAAAGAATAAATATTCAGATTCTGGAAAAAGGGTTAAAATCATTTTTATTTATTTTTTTTGGTTAAAAAAAAAACCAAAATAAATAAATAGAAAGGAAAATGAAAAAAAATTATGATACCTGCTAAATTAGATACATTAAACGAAACGCCGCTCGTGAGCTCGACTTGACTTGTTAAAAACATGTTTAGTTAACAAGCCGAGATTTACTCCACTCATAAGACTTGATAAATATGAGGTTTTACATATTTTCTTGAATTTTTAGTATAATTAGACTCGTTGAGGATCGTTAACGAGCTGAGCTCGTTTATCGAAATTGGCTCGACTCAAATTGAACTCCAGTATCAGAAGTTCGAGTTTTGCCTCTACTAACTACTATTGATACTTAACTTCTACAACTTAGTGAGGTATAGGGCCATAAAGGCCCACGGGATAGAGTTCATCATTTATTCGAAAAGACCACCAATTCTTAATACGGACCCAAATGAAATAACTCTTCAATCCAAAGCCTGTTTAAGATATTTCGATTGCTTATGGGCTAAAACCAGCCTAGAAACATATTGGATCCAAAGCCCACTTAATTATCTCTCTCATCGTCCTCAACTTTCCTTATGGTTTACACTGCAACAATAACCAACAAAAACCAGCAAAAAACCCTAGATTACGACTCGGGTTGACCCGATTCCGAACTCCGCCATGGAACCCGAAGACGTCGCCACCGGGGCAACCATCGATGAGGACGAGATCTACGCCAACGGAGGAGACGACAGCGAGTCGCAGCGACACCGCCCGATCATCAGCGGCGAGCAGCTCGACGTCGAGGCGTACGCTGCCCTGTACGCTGGCCGCACGAAGATCAGCCGCCTTCTCTTCATCGCCGAGAAATGCGGCATCGCGTCCATGGAGCTGGAGGCATTGCGGTTGGCGTACGACGAGACGAAGAAGGGGGCGAACACGCAGCTGTTCAGGGAGGTTGTGGCGAGGATTGACGGGCGGTGGGGCCCAAATTACGGGCCGGATAATGCGTGGGCCGATGTCGTGGACAGGCGGGCCGAGCTGAGGAAGGAGAAGCTCGAGAACGAGCTGAACGCTTACAGGGTATGTGTGGTTAATGTACGAGTGCAAAAATGTAGAAAAACACTGGATAAGCAACTAATTTTGTAGCTTCCTTGGCTTAATTCTGAAGAAAAATCTACTTTTGGAGAGGAGAAATAGAAAATGGATGTCTGATACTGTTGATACTTTTTGTGAGTTTGACCCAGCTTCAAGATAAACAGTGATCTAAGAGGTCAACTTAGCACTCAGTTGGATTTGCTTCTTGAAATTTGCTAGATTAACAACAAGAAAATATCATGTGTTCTTAGTATGACATATATTTGGTTGTGTTCCATTTTATAAGATGAAGAAGGCTTGAGAACGAAAATTATCAAAAGAAAAAAAAAAAAAAAAAAATGAAAAAAAAAAAAAAAAATTAGCTTTTAATAGTCTATTGAATTCCTGTTCATCTCCTATCCCTCTTATTGGTGCTTTGTCTTGTGCAGACAAACTTGATCAAAGAGAGCATTCGGATGGGATACAATGATTTTGGAGAGTTCTACTATGCACACGGTCAACTTGGTGAGGCATTCAAGAATTATGTCCGGACGCGTGACTACTGCACTACTTCAAAGCATATTATTCAAATGTGCCTGAACGCGATCTTGGTTAGCATTGAGATGGGCCAGTTCACGCATGTTACGAGTTATGTTAGTAAGGCCGAGCAAAGCCAAGATGCATTGGATCCTGTTACAGTTGCAAAACTGCGTTGTGCAGCTGGGTTAGCTCACCTGGAAGGCAAAAAGTATAAGCTTGCTGCAAGAAAGGTTCGCCTACGAAAAGCTTCCACTTATTTAGAGAAATTTAATGTTGTAGTATACCATGAACAGTAAGTGTTCTGTGATTTGGTAAATTGACATGATATTCAGTGGGAAATTTACATGGGAAACTGATTGCTTTAGTATAAGTTATAAGTTTGTTCATGTTGTTGAGTTTCCCTTGCTATTTTGTGAGGTGGAATATTAATTTTCACTATATGATACGTGCTGTATAGAGATGTATGACGGGAATCGTAAGTGGCTGAGGTTTGATTTCAGTTTACTGAAGTTGATGCTTTTCCAGCTGGAAGAACTAGATTATTAAGGCCACAAAAAAGATAAGGAACAATACACTAAGCGGCTGGGTTGCTTTACCATAATAAAAGTGTGCTATACCAAATATTAGTTCTATGACCCAGTTGTCTGCAAAGGCACTTCTTGTTTTGGTTTGATGGGAAGGTTTCTACATATCTATATATTATTTCAAACAAATGCTTTATTCCATCTGAGCAATTGATAATGTTTGCATATTTGGTGAACCTTAAATACATTAAGCATGTTTAATGGATGTCTTCAAATACACCATGTTTGATAACATCCCACCAGAGAGAACTTACTTCTGTTGTATATCTCTGTCTAAAATTCTGTCGGCACTTGCAGTTCTTGGAAACTGGCCCTGAATTGGGGAACAACTACAATGCAGTGATTGCACCCCAAGATGTTGCTACCTATGGCAGTCTATGTGCACTTGCAAGTTATGATCGTGCAGAACTGAAGGTAAATTTACTGTTACTAATATTCTTTTATGTCCTGTTTGGATCTGAATGTGATTTTGCTGTTCTTCTTAAAACGTTTTTTTTTTTTTTCCTGGCAGAGCAATGTCATTGACAACATCAACTTCCGAAACTTCTTAGAATTAGTACCTGAAATAAGGGAACTCATCAATGATTTCCATACTAGGTACCTAATTTATCTTTTACTTCGCTTCTCAACAGAAAATTTTTGTTCATGCAAAATATATGTGAAGCAAAATATCGACTTGAATTTTTTTGTTTCCTTGTTTGACAGTATAGATCCGTTTTTGTTTTCTATACAGCCATTACGCTTCCTGTCTGGAATATCTAGGAAATCTCAAGGCAAACTTGTTGCTCGATATTCATTTGCACGATCACGTCGAAACTCTGTACGAGCAGATACGCAGCAAAGCCCTCATCCAATACACTCTCCCTTTTGTCTCTGTCGACCTCCGCATGATGGCAAACGCATTCAATACAAGTATTACAGGCCTGGAGAAGGAGCTCGAAACTCTCATCACTAAAGACCAGATACAGGTCATCAATGCCCGTCCACTAAAGTCCTTTGTTGGCCAATTTCGAATTTCTAGATTCGGTATAGTTACAAAAAGGAAAAAGTTCCACCATAAAACATAAATCCACTTTGTTATCCTTTAAAATTCTTAGTGTATTCATGACTCAGAAAGATAACTCAGGTCTTTTATGTGAAAGTTTATTTCTCGTTTATACCCGACTAATGTTGTGATGATTGTGCAGGCTCGGATAGACTCCCACAACAAAATTCTATATGCTCGGCATGCGGATCAGAGGAACGGGACATTCCAGCGTGTTTTGCAGACTGGCAATGAATTCGACCATGAAGTGAGAGCCATGCTTTTGAGGGCAAACCTCGTCAAACACGATTATAACCAGAAGGCATCATCATCCAGGAAGCATTAGATTTGTATAATTGGGATTTGGGAGAGGATATGAACATAAGGGCTTATTATTTGGATGCATGGCTTTGAGGGGAAAAAAATAAGAATCGATATGAAAAGAATTTACAAGGTCTGATAATTGGATTATTTGTTTGGAGTTTTCAGTCTTTTGGATCGGCTCTCCGATTGAGTGTTGTGGAAAATGGAACAATGATTAAATGATTATATATATATATATATGTGTATGTATATATTTGGTTAATTTAAACCTTATATCCATAATTATGATAGCTAGATACAGTTAAACTCAAAGCATTGTGTGATGGCAACAGCCTTCACAATAAACATTGATTGCAAATATAGAAAAAGAAAAAAAAAATGCTAATTGTAATAATATAGTTATTAAAAAAATTAATAATAACTTATAGAAAGTTAATTTTAATAAGTCTTTAAATATAAAATTGAATATTACTATACAGTTTGTTAAAAACAAAATTATATGTTCTAACTAACATTCACTGTTTTATTACCTTAAATGTCATTGTATTTCTATTATATAATGAGTTATAATATTAATATTAATAATATAATTTTCAAAAATAAAAACTAATTATTACTATAAAAAAATTAATTTTAATAATAGTTTTAGAAATAAAACCAATCTTTTATTCAATTTGTTAATGCCAAATTTATATATTTTTGACTTAATTTTACTAATTATTTAAATATTATTATATTTTATATTTATTTAAATATCATTATGTTTTTATTGTATGATTAGTTTTATTATTCAAATTATTCATTACACCAAATAGTTTTTTACAGTTGCATCTGATTTTTCCAGACTTCGATTCAATTTACACAATCAAAAATTCAAAATGTCGTCAAGAACCTTTTCTCTCCACCCTTTCTCTTACTACATTGTCCACCACTACTACTTTGCTCACTTTCTCCACCTATCATTTCACTTTGTCCACCACTACTACTTTGCTCTTTTGGCTGTGATTAGAACCTCGGCATCTCAGAACCAGCGACATGGTACTTACCATATTTAAAATATCTACAAATTGTATTTTATATTGAATAATTATTTTCTTGTATAAAATATTTTTTTTCATACTCTAAAAATAATTTTATAATTAATTATTTGTATATAAATATATTTATATAAATATTTTTTAAATAAACATATTTTTGTGACAATGTGTGTTTATATAGCATTGTTTTTGGTACAATTGTGTTTGTGATAGAACTTAAAGCGTCTGTTTATGGGCACTTTTGTAGAAGTATATTTTAAAATTTTATAGCAGAAGTAATTCTTTATCTCTAGAATTAACTTATTGAACAAACAATTTATCCATATTTTTTTAATGCTAAATATTAATTAATTATTCAAACATATAAAATTCATTTGTTTTGAAATAAATTCCCCCTAATATATAATTCCGAATGTGGTGAGTAGCAGACACACGCTTCTGAATCTTATGTGACAATTTTTCATACTTTATCACTTGACTTGAATGAATTAAAATTTACTTCCAATCAAAAATTAACTAGACCTATAATATCCATAAATATATTGCATTTTTATGATCGTTGATGAATTTTAATTTACTTTCAATAAAAAATGAACTAGACCCACAATATCCATAAAGAAATATACCAGATATTTGTGATCATTTTGGTACAGGAAACCAGACCCTGGTCCAACGGACCCAATAAACAGGCCGCTAAACCAAGAAAACTGGCTGATCGAACAAGGTAGCAAGAAGGCCAACAGTAGTCGAACACCGTCAACGAAAGACTGGATGTCTTTGGGTCGAAGACAACATAAAGGGCATATGGAAACAAGGACCAGGTCGAGTTAGGGTCCTCGGATGATCGGTTGGAAACTTGACCTATAAACATGGTTGGTCGCACGCTTGACCAAAAACGACAACACTTGGTCTCAGGACAAGCAACGTTATATCTCGACAAACCTCGAGTTGATCGCACCATTAAGCAGTCTAATAGGAGAGATTAAGGGATAAAAATTAATCTTAAGGGTTAAGAGCCACACGTGGATAGAGCTACGTTGACTAACAGAATTAGGTAGTTCGGGTAGTTCGGTTGTTCTATCGGATAGTTTATCCGAACAATATTGAGCAACAAGGTATCACGTCTCTATATAAGAGAGTGAACTATGTCCATTATCACATTACATTCTATATTATTCCATATATTATTTTTTGCACTTCATCTTCTACAATTGCTCGTTTATGCATAAGAGACTATTTATCGGAAAACCCCTCCAATGTAAGAGTTGTTGCACGTCCGCAGGCGATCTACCGGCAAAGAAGTTCGAGTTCATGCCGATTCCAACCGGTCCGAAGTCTTTTGCGTACCACATTTTTAAGAGTTTTAATTATGTTATAATATTATTTTATATTCTAGACGTGGATTATAAGACATGTTTTTCCCCAATCATTCTTTTTATTGCATTATTTTATTTAAAAAAAATTAAATAAATTTACCAACTTAAATTATAAATATATTTTTAAAAATTATAATTTTCATAATTATTATTAATTTTTATATATAATATCTCAAATTAATCATTTATTGATGAATTTTGATTTGACATTTATATTGTACATACAAAATAAATAAACTATTATATTTATATTTGTAATAAAAAATAATTACCTTATTAACTGAAAAAATAATATTTAACAACAAAAAGTAGTTATATGATATAAGTTAAAAAAATATCATAAATTAAGATGAGTAAGTCGTGATTAGTGTCATAATTTTAAAAAATATTTAAAATTTAATATAATTTTTTTAAACAAACTACTACACGGGTATTGTGTAAATATTTCTCATCCATCCTTAGAAAATATTTTCCTTTTATTTATTAACTAGAAAATTTATAAACTATGGTGAAGAGATTTGAACCAAAATCACACTCGACCCTGAATCCCAATTCCCAACACACACAATCCCCAAACTTCAGATCTTCAAAAAACAAAGAAACACACACATACACCACTTTGTGTGTCTGTGTAGAGAAAACGAAATGAGATTGTGCTGAGAACTCGAGATCTTGATTCAGCAAGCTTCAATCTCCAACTTCCCTAGAAAGCGACCACACCCAAATGGGGCTCTTGAATCTTCAATCCTCGAAGCACCGCCACACCCGGCAATGGCGCTTGCTGGATATAATCACCGCCGCCTTCTTCGCGGCGGTCCTCCTCTTCTTCCTCCTGGTGTTCACCCCTCTCGGCGACTCGCTGGCGGCTTCCGGGCGGCAGACGCTGCTGCGCTCGGATCCGCGCCACCGCGGGAGGCTGGTGGCGCTGGTGGAGCTCGGCCGGCAGGGGACGGCGATCGATGCTTGCCCGGCTGACACGGTGGACCACATGCCGTGCGAAGATCCTAGAATCAACAGCCAGCTCAGCAGGGAGATGAATTTCTACAGGGAGAGGCATTGCCCCCGGCCGGAGGAGACGCCGCTTTGTCTGATCCCACCGCCTGAAGGGTATAGGGTTTCTGTACAGTGGCCGGAAAGTCTACATAAGGTATTGGTTTTCAACTTTTTCTATATTCAATTTATTGATTAATGTGATACCATTGAGAAAGATTTGATTTTTAATCAATTTTGAGGAGATTTCACTGTGTTTTTCAAGTTGGGCATTTGGGTTTATTTAGATTGTTAGTTTGTATCGAAATGCAGACACTTGATGTACTTGCCCATATCCGGGCCTAAGTTCAGCTTTTTAATTATTTTTTGCTGTAAGATGAGGTTAAAAAACTGAGTTTTATGAATATTAGAGATGTTAAATGGTCCTTGGCCTGACGGACCGGTCCGTTTAGCCCGGAAATAAATTGGGTTAGGGCCTTTTATTGGCAGCCCGTTTAAATCCGGGCTTTTTAGGCCCGGAACGTTTAGTACGAAGCCCGCTAGGGCTAGCCCGTATAACTTGGGTTGGGTGGTGTATATGTTTTTAGAAAGATAAGGAATATGTCTCATGATTCCTTCTATATTACAATTTTGCTATTCTACTTCACATTTAATTATGAGTTATAATGTATTATTATTAATTATTAACAAATTTTATTCTATTTCACAACAAAATATTTAAGCCAATCAGAACGGTTAATAAAAAACAAATGAGACAATATGTTATTTAAGAGTTTGTAATATGTGTTCATATATGAAGTGTAGTTGTATATATATAGTGGTAAATACTAAATAGCCGTTGAAAAAAACTGTTAACTAGGTGTTGTAATTTATTATTATTATTATTATTATATAGCCCGTTTAGCCCGAAGCCCGCTAGGTTTAGGGTCAGGTCCTTTTATTGGTAGCCCGTTTAAATTCGGGCTTTTTAAGCCCGGACCGTTTAGCCCAAAGCCCGCTAGGGCTAGCCCGTTTAACATCTCTAATGACTATGCTCGAGTTAGTGTGAGTAGTCCTAAATATCCTGCTGATTCCAATTCTAAATATACTATGTATCAGTAGATTATTTTGATGGTTTTAAAATTGGACTCAAGCATCCTGTGTAGATTTGTAGATGCTATAGTTGGTTGTTATAAATGTCATGATGTTCATTTTTGCATTCATTTATATACCTATATATGTTAGATCTGAAGTGAATCAGCATTTAATAATTTAAAGATGCATATGCTGACCGAAACTTCTATAAGTTTTCTTCCAAGCTTGCATGATGAAGCAATTGGAAACTAAAGCTAGGCTTGCACGACCATCGCTTCTATTTGTTTTTTACAGATTTGGCATGACAATATGCCCTACAATAAGATAGCAGATAGGAAAGGCCACCAGGGATGGATGAAACGGGAAGGCCCGTATTTCTTATTTCCAGGTGGCGGCACAATGTTCCCTGATGGGGCAGTGCAATATATCGAGAAGCTTAAACAATACATTCCTATTGCTGGTGGAGTTTTGAGGACAGCTCTTGATATGGGATGCGGGGTAAAAAAAAAAATCCTTGTTTCACTTAATAATAATAATGAAAAAAAAAATGGAAATCTTATTATCGAACTCTTTTGTAGGTTGCTAGCTTTGGTGGATACATGCTGGCTGAAGGCATCTTAACTCTCTCTTTTGCCCCGAGAGATTCACACAAATCACAAATTCAATTTGCTCTGGAAAGAGGAGTACCAGCATTTGTTGCCATGCTTGGCACGCGTAGACTTCCTTTTCCTGGTTTTTCGTTTGATTTGGTGCATTGTTCGCGATGTCTCATTCCTTTTACCGCATATAGTGAGTACTTCTCT